CGCATCTGTCGTCAAAACTTTTCGCATCGTACCGTCCCGAGGGGGGTTCCCCGTGCGTAAAAGCTCTCGCTCTCCCAATGGCGCAGGGCCGCCGAGCAGGCGCGCGTCATCGTTACCGAGCGGCAGAGATCGCGAATCGGGCTGAAATGTAGTGACAAAACCCATTTCGTGAACGCTCTCATTCTCAGGAGACCAATGGCACAACTTGGATAGACGAAGCCATGAGATCCTGCAGCCTGAGGCATGTGCGATATTGTACTCTCGCCCCTTCTCTGAACTGAGACAGACAGTCCGTCAGCGAGCGAACGCGCTCTTGAGAGAGACGTGCTCGCATGGAGACTGAGTTCAATTCCAAGCCCAGGAAAATGACATTCTGACTGGGAGTCAGATTGTTTTTGCTCGCATTCACCTTGAACCCTAGGGATGTGATGTGCGCGAGCACCCGGCCGGTGTCCAGCGACACCTTCTCCTTTGATTTGGCTATGATGAGCCAGTAAGTCAAAATTCTCAGCCATGATAGTCTCAGGGGCGCCACGCCCATCTCCGCACACAGACAGAAAGTTCGGGGACTCAAATTGCGCCCGAACGGAAGAACTGTGAATTCGTAACAGATGCCTTGGTAGGCGAAACGAAGATATTTCCTGTGTGGAGGGTAGATGCTAATGTGAAAGAAAGCATCTTTCAGATCGACTGATGTGAACCAGTCGTTCTGCTTTATGGCACAGGCGAGAGAGCCTTGTGTCACATTCTGAAATTGTATTTCCTCAAATGTTTGTTCAACACTCGAAGGTCCAATATAGGGCGGGGGGCGCCACGCCTTTTGGAACATGAAAATACCAGGAATAAAAACCATGGTTTATCAGATTGGGTGGCACCATCTGAATCGCTCCCTTGTTAGGAGGGAGGAAATTTTCTCTTTCAGAATGTGTGAGGCGTTTTCTTCTGTGTGAGAAGAGAGAACGCCGTTGAAATGCGGAGGTTTTATTGCAAACTGCAGCTTGTAACCCTGGGTTACGGTACGCAAAAACCCACTCGGGCGCTGAAACGGCTTGCCAAGCCGCTTTGTGACTCGCGAGCGCCCCCGCAGGGGCCGGAGCGGAGCTGTATGGGCCCAGCTGGTTCATCTGTGATGCAAAGGCGCCATCTAGTGGGCACACTAGAGGCGACATGCAGGGGTTCGGAGGGATTTCCTCTCTCTGCAGTGAGAAGTTTTCTCTGCGGAGAGAGGTCTTCTCTCCAAAACTAATTCATTTGATTCGTAGCTTTGTGTGTTTTGTGTTGGGCAAACACTGGGGCCGAAGCCTTTATTGACAGAGTGAGGGGAACATAGTGTGGTGTCCACTGTGCTGAACTTTCCCTCACAAGGTGCCCCCAAAAGTGGGGAAAAACACATATCTCCTGAACACATGAACTGGGCAGTCTCAAGTGCAGGCAGAAAAATAATATCCGCGGAGAGAGATACTCTCTCTGTAACGGATTTATTTAATTCGTTTTTGTTTTTGTTTTTTTTTAAAGTGTAATTTAGTTATGTGTGTGTTTTGTGTTAGGGAACACAGGGGCCTTCCACACACAACGTCCACTAAAAACACATCGGCTGGACAGCCGCAACTGAGCTGTGTGAGCCCAGTTGGTTGATTTGTGAGGCAATGGCGCCCTTTTGTGGACGGACTCAGGGCGACATGCATCGGATCAGAGAGATTTGCTCTCTATGTTGGCAGACATATAAATCTGCACGAATTAATTTGATTCGTTTATTAAATGTGTTGTTTAGTAATGTGTGTGTTTTGTGTTGGGAAACACTGGGGCCGAAGCCTTTAATAACTGGGTGAGGGGAACCAAGTGCGTGCGGTGTGGTAACACTGCTATGTACTTTTCCTCACGACAGCCCCCCCCCCCCCCCCCCCCTGTAACTTGTTGTTGTGGGGGGGAGGGGGACACACACACACAACGTCCACTAACACACGGGCTGGGGAGCCACGAGACGGGATTAACCGACCGTAGGTGGGAGACCCTGAGTTAACGTTACTCCCAATGGTCGAACAACAGGCAGGCCGCTTGCGTTCGGGACCGCCTTCCTAGGAAGGCATACATTGAAAAGCTCAACACGTAATCGTAACTCATCAAGGCCCGTGAGACCGTGTTAACAGTCTAGCGGGACGCTCCAGCCGTGCTTATGAGCTTCGTGAACGCTGGAAAAAACGTTCTTAAGAGTTGTTTCCTCAGACTGGGCGGTGGTCCCAGCGTTTACCCGTCGTAAATATTCCTATCCTGGTCGGTGGCGCTCTGTGGAGCTGGCCACACGATGTTGAGACGAACGGCCGCTCGCTCACAAAATTCCAGGAGGATGGACGGAGGCAAAGCCGCGTGAGCGCTAGCCTAGGGAACGCTAAAAGGACCGCGTCATCCCCGTCGCCGGAACCGACCGGTTCGTCAACGAGAGTGAGGTTTTCCCGCGAAGATGTCCTCTTCAGGGAATGCGGATTGGGCTGATGTCAGCTCAAATATTTTAGAGAGGTGGCGCTCCGGGAGTCCCCCGGTAGCGCGTCATCATCACCGTGTCTCCCCTCCGAGTCAGAAAGGCCGAGCACGGCGTCGGTGTGTCGTGCAACTAAAAACCGGCCTAGTAAAAGCTACATGGGCAGCAATTACAATGACCGCAATTCTCCAGGTTCTCCAAAGCTTGAGTGTGTTAAGCCCAAGCAGACCGCGCAGAACGAGAGGGTCCTTAGCGGCGATGAGAGCACCACACGCGGCCGGGCAGGCTCGTCGTGATAGGCTGTTCCCCGGGGGAAGCGGCTGTTTAGACGGTCACATAGCCATGGGTGGGCCAGCGGTGAAGAACTCGGAAAAATCCGTGGTGGACAGCCATGAAAAGGAGGAGCAGGTGAAGGACAGCGGGAGCTCGGGTGGCTCCGGATGCAAAAAACACAGCGGATAGGCTGAAGAAACGACTGTCACTCACGTCTGGCGGAGGCTGATCTGGCGATATGTCCTCCTGAAGACTCGAAAGTGAGCAGCGTAAAACGTTAATCCAACCGAACTGTGTCAATGCAGAGATCGCGAGAAGCGAATGTCAACTGAGGAATAGCAGCGCGCCCAGCTGTGATATGCCCGTAGGTAAGGGGGTGTGGCCTCACCTGGCATTGGCTGCGCGCTTCTGTCTGTTAGCCAGACTTGGTGCAATTGGATGCTTCTGCAGAGGTCAGGTACGGATGCCCTTCCCATAGGTGGATCTCGAAACGAGATGATGAAAGAGAACTGCTTGTCAATAAACTGACAGCAGCAACAGCAAGCAAAGCCTGCTTTCAAAAGCAACACATTTCAGCACAGTTCGCCTTTTGTTTAACACAAACGAACGAAATTAATACTCTGTTATTCATCTAGAGTTGTTTCATTTGTTATATATATATCTGTACCGCGAAATGTTTTAAAAAGACACTTTTTTTAATGACGTACGATTCGCATTGACAGGGGAATGTCCGAACTGTTCGCTTAACGTTGCACGGCAGCCAGGTGCAAATGCACGTATCTGATTCATATCAGATTTATTTCCGCATATGAATGAGGCCTGAAACATCAAGTATGACTGAACTCTCGCAGTTTAACGTTACATGTTTGGGAGTTTCTAAGTCTTGCACCCAGCCGCAACAGACTTGTTCAGCTTCTAATGACTTAAAGCTTCTGAACTCTTGCATTGTGTAGGCAGTAACGTTAGTCACTGATACCATAAACAAACCAGGTAATTAACTATGTCAGCGTATGTGAAAGGTGGTAGTGCTTTGGGTCTTTCGTCCATTCTGTAGCAGGTCATACGGGTCCATGTTGATGTCAAGTAGTTTCTCTAAATAACGGTGCTTGGTGTTGTTATTTAGTCTCTCCCGATAGAGCCCCTTTCCTTTTGCTTCCCCCTTCTTCATTTATTCCCAAGAAACTGTGCCTTATCGCAAAAATGCAAACAAATATCAAGCTGCTCTCTCTCTCTCTCTCTGTCGCTATTTCTCTCGGTCTCACGGTCGAAGTAACCATGACAACGGATAGCGTATCCTACCAAGATGGCGAATCCTTCCCACAATGCAACGCGGAGTGATACGCGTGACGTCACCTTCTCATTCTCAATAGGCTGCTAGGTAATTTCATCTGCCAGCCCAGAAAACATTGTTAAAATAGTCACAGTGGCTCAACCTTAAGTTTATCAAGCGACGAGAATACTTGTTGTGCGCAAAAATAAATAAATAACAACTTATTCAACTATTCATTTTCTTCCGTGTGGGCCTTTGATGTGAGTTCACGAAAGCGCCACGATGCATATGCGAGAACTGAGATGTAGGAGTAAACAGGAGTAAGTTTAGACGCCTCTCACGGATCAAACTAACAGGGCTGGGCAACAAACTCAAGCTCCTCCGACATTTCTCTTTAAAAATGGTCGTTTTAGACTTCTAATTCGTGACTGGTGGTTTGTTTTGCTCTATCCCCTGCGCTTCCGCGTTCATCATTACGTTGTGCTCATGTCAAGGGGTTTTCCACCGAAAATCGATGCGTACGGCCGTCTGCGGGAAACTAGTTATTTAATCGATAAAGTTTTTAAAATGGATATTTTTCTTACACGAACACATCGTTTCACTTCAGAAGGTATTTATTAACCCCCGCAGGGCCTTGTGGATTAGGCTACTTTTATTATGGATGGTTGCACTTTGATGGACAGAACCGGCCATTCACTGCCATTATCAAGCTTGGAAGAGCCAGGACATTTTTTTTATATAACTCCGATTGTATTCGTCTGAAAGAAGAATGTCATACACACCTAGGATGACTTGAGGGTGAGTAAATCATGGGGTAATTTTCATTTTTGGGGGAACTAACCCTTTAACCCAGAGAGAACCCAATATTGCTCGAAAAATGCTAATTTGCTTTTAGGACTTCAAACTCTTGTGTCAATGAGAGCTTGATTACATATTGACCAATAAAATCATTGTAAGATAACTTAATGTTTGATCTCACAGGATGATAAGAATGGAAGGATTGCTACGTTCCTAATTTATGTAAGTCTTGGCCACTGTAAATGGCATTGTAAACATTATAGGTTTACAAGGCTTAAAAGTTACTTTCTTTTCATATTACCTGTGTTGTACAGTCATTATGAACAATAATTTATGTGCTCTTGCTGAAGATGAGTGATGTGGAGATAGGGGGCGCCACTGTGTTTCCTAAAGTTGGAGTTGCATTGAAGCCAAAAAAGGTAAACCTGATCTATATGGTATATTAGAATAATTTAAGTAAAATGAACTCATCCATCCTCTGCTTTTGAAGGGTTCCGCTGTGTTTTGGTACAACCTCCACAAGAATGGCAGAGTGGATTTGGATACACAGCATGCTGGATGCCCTGTGTTAGTGGGTAACAAATGGGGTAGGTTTTTATTTAATTCTTACTGGCTTTGATTACTCTTATAATGTATCGTCTATAATCTATGTTAATTAGACTAAATTTCATTCAATTTCACATGACATTGAGCAATATTTTTTATGGTATCTTTTCAGTGGCTAATAAATGGATCCATGAGTTTGGACAGGAGTTCAGGAGACCCTGTTCTTTATCAGAATGGGAGTGAAAGACATTGTGACCATGTCAAATCATATGAAGTTTATCTGTACTATTGACGTATCTGTACTCTATCTTTATATTTATTATGTATAAGTAAGTATTATGTATTCATTAAAATATGTATGCATTTTATAATGTAGATCTGTAACATATATATATTGTATTAACTTTTACTGTGATTTACTACTGTCTAAGTGGCAGTAATGTAAAAAATAACTGTAATGTATACAATAAAACAAAACAAGTGCAATAGAGTAAAATGAAGTTTCAGCAAGATGTCAATGAATAATCACATTACCTGAGTTGATCAATCCTTGCAGCCAGTGTGTTATTCCTTTAGATCAGACGCTAGTTCTCTGCAGTTGTATTTAAAGCTTAATATGACGTTTACTCTTCAGTCTGTGGAGGAATGATGATTCACATGTTTTACGAGTTTTTGTGGTATGTGTAGTTGTGAATGTTGTACTGGAAGGCAGTATGTTTATGGTAATAGTATGTCTGTAAAGGTACAATCTCACACGCAGAGAACAAGACTGTCTATATCAACTCTCACAGCAACACACACAATATACCAACAATCATAATTTTGCAAGATTTTAAAGACTAACTATTATGAATAAATTAATACTATTTGCATCTGCAATAACTTAACACAAACATGCATGTAAAGTCATACTGATTCCAGCACTTACAGATATAAATGTTTGCTAAACTGAATCTATGAATTCTGTAACATCATTTCTAATGCAGCCCATCGCAGAGTCTACTGCTTTTTATCACAGACAGACGCAAATTTTAAGCAAATTTTACACAAGACCAAAGGGAAACATTTCACTTACAAGTTTAACTTCAGCAAACTATAGTCTTAGTGAATTACATGTCAAGTTCCGACTGAAAAGGTTATATAGCAAAGCTGAACATACTTGTGCATATTATAATACAAACATTATTGTAGTGCGATCATTATTATCCCTAAGCTCAACACGCAGATGTAAAGTAATCTTTTAGTTTCTGAAATAGTCAGACTGGTTGTAATTGCAGCATTCTTCCAACAATACAATAAAAAGTGCACTATGCCAGTTTTAGACCAGTTGTTAGGCAACATTATTAGAGCAGGCCTTGATAATACAATAGTATAGAGTATATCTTTCCTTTCCATGATTATACCATTTGCTGTCTCCAATTGTGCAACATGAAAGTTTCAAAGTATATTTTTAGCTAAGTAACTACAAGAAACAAGTCTATATTGTGATATGCCATGACTGTCATGTTTATGTTTTGTGTGGTTTTATATTGCGCTTTGGTCCCTGTTCCTCTCTGATTAGTTCCTGTTTGGTTGTCTTAGTTACTATTATGCCCCTGTTTTTTCCCATAGTTGCTCATTTGTTAATGTATTAGCCATCTGCATGTTCCTTGTTTCCCCCCTCATTTCCCATGTGTATTACAGCCCACAGTTTTCAGTTGTAATGGTTTGTTCTTGTCTATGCTATGTTGGTTTGCTGCATTTTGTATTTGTTGTTAGATTGACTTTGTGCTCCTGTTTTTAATTTGTTTATACAAATCCCTGCAGCGGATACCATCTCTACACTTCCTTGTTCCCGCAAGCAGCCCACTGACACTAACTCATGTAAAGTTTCGCTTTTGTTTTTATTCTCAGACAGGCATACTGAGAAATGGTGAAATGTGGGCAGATACAGGTGTGCCTCTATTTGGTTTCCATATATTTAAGCTCAATTTCACTGCAAGATACACACACAAGTTGTGTATTGAGATATTGAAGGTCTGATAATGGCTGTAAAGGAACTGTCGGTGTTTATGGTGTGTTTTTGGATTGTCTGTGCTGATGCTGGACATGAGTTCTTCTCATCAACAGGTTATTATTTCAGTTCAATGTCATTGAATATATAAATTATATTTTATATATAGTTTTTTATTCGTAATAATTGAATGTTATAGTGTTTTGTTTCTCCAACTGTTTTTACACTGTTGATTTCATTTTTAATACTTTTGACCAAAATTGAACAATATACCACAGTTTTTGCCATAATTTCAACACTGATGGACTCATACATAACATTATAGTTACTTTCTTTCACTTTTTTAAATTCCATTATTGACTAAATAATAACTATCTCTTTTTGATTTCTTACCTACTAAACCTTTTTCATTATAACTATAATGATGTAAAATTGTATTAATTAATAAATCAAATGCCCTTTGACATTTAAGTGCAGATTGTTTTATAGATCAAATTGCACAACTATATGGGAAGACGAAAGACCTTCTGAAGGTCTTCAGTCAGTGTGTTGATGCTGAGAATGTAGAGACAATAAAGAGGTGAAAATGCATTCATTATTCCCAATATACCATTAAAGTCCAAGATTAATGTGTTGTTGTTTTTTTATTATTATTATTAAAAAGCATTCAATTTGGCAATGGATATTTAACAATCTTATACATAGTTTATAAGATCAAGGATTATGTTATTAAATACATTTTCTAACTTTTGATGAACCCCTGTCTTCATCCAGTGTTCTTCCGAATCTTCTGCTTTCATACTCTGACTCTGAGAACCCAGAGGAAGCTGTGAGAGACCCTGTGGCAGCTTACAGACTCCTCAGACAAATGAGAAATGATTTGATATATATAAAACACATTCAGCCGAATCTTACTCAGTGTGAAGAGTATCAGAATGAGTTGGACGCAATGATCCCACAGCTGGAGGACTTGGATGGTGCAGCTTCAGGACTGATCAGACTGCAAGAGATCTACAAACTCCACCCAGAAGACATCACAAAGGGTAAACTGTCCTGCAGTTTTACACCAATGAAGTTTCACTGAGAGTTTCACTTTTTCCAATCTAATTAATGCTTTAATTTCACAGAAACGTCTCTAAATGCAGTTGAAGCTTTCGATGTAGGGTTGGTCGCTTATGACGAGAACAAATTCCAGCACGCCTTCCTCTGGTTTCTGTACAGTCTGGACAGATTAACAGAAAACCCAATCACTAGTGAGAAAGAGTTACTCCGTTTTCTTAGTTCCTCAGCCTATCATTTTGGCAGCCTGTCTGTGGCAATCTACTTCAGCCAACGGCTTCTAAATCTAGGTGAGGTCATAGTGACATGAAATTTAATACTAATATTTTTTTATGGATGGGAGACAATTTTGCTAAATTGTTGTGATTCAAGTCATAAACATCTTTGCCTCAGATCCGAGTAATGATGAAGCCAGAGTTCAGCTGAACAGACTCCTTCACTTACAGAGCAACCCTGACATATTTACACTGAACACAGAGTCAAGTAACTATGAGGCTCTGTGCAGAGGAGAGGTTGACGAGAGGGCAAGCGCCAAAATTTAAATCATTATTTGACATGAAATTACAAACAGTCATTGTGAAGCTTTGAGTGTTGAAGTTCATAATGTTTTATAAAATCAGATCTCCAAGAGGCAGAGGGCGCTGTCCTGTAGGTACAGCACAGGTGGAGGAAACCCCAGACTGATGTACGCACCAGTGAAAGAGGAAGTGGAGTGGGACGAGCCTCGCATCATCAGATATCATGACATTATATCAGACAGAGAGATGGAGATCCTGAAGAATATCTCCAGACCTCAAGTGAATATCGAACACACACACGTTTGGTTTCCATATTTTATGGGGACTTTGTATAGACATAATGATTTTTATACTGCACAAACTGTATATTCTATCCCCTTATCCCTATACCCAGCTATTTATTTTCATTGCTTTACACACATTTATAAAGTTTTTATTAAGTTGACTATATCTACTTTCTACTGATGCGTAAACCTTAAGAGAAATCTTAAACTATGGATTGAATTGAATAAAATCAATCTTATAATTTCTGACCAGTCTTTCTGAAAGTCAAATGTCGAAGTTTGTACATTGAAACTTAAAATTTACTAATTTAAACCTTGGTTGTAGAGATTTGTGTGCTTCATGTGAGGTCCATATAGAAATGATTCATTGAGGTCTGTGTGGAAGAACTTGGCTGATCTATAGAAAGCCCAGATTTGAATCCCACTGAACACATTTAAGATACATTGGAGTCCTAACTGCCGGCACGCAGGCCTCATTCAAAATCAGAGCCAATGATTTTGAAACTAAATGCTCAGAAAGCAAACCTAATTGTGGTGTTTGGATGTTCACTTACTTTTAGCCATATACATAAATGTATACTTGACAGTTCATTCCTGTTTTTTTGCCCACAGCTTTCTAGATCGGAAGTTAATCAATATGGAATCTCAAAACTACGTGTTTCTCAAAGGTTTAATTAATATTTATTAATCACCTCATTATAATGGCGTAGTTCACCCCAAAATTTAAATTCCCTTATAGTCCTACATGATGTTTGGTTAAAAAGTTTAATACAAAAAAACACTTTAACATGAGAGTTAGCAGTATTTGGCATAATAATTAACCGTTTTGGTCACACACTTATATTGCAAAGAAATATCATCACTATATTTTCAGTGTTTTTCTAAGCGTTGACCCTGTGGAAGCTGGTGTCAGTCAGAAGATTGCAGATGTTACGGGACTCTCCATGGAAACAGCTGAACCACTGCTTGTACGTCACAGTAAGAAAGAAAGCATATGATCATGATTCATGCACAGGTAGCATATATTTTCTTTACTGCCAGCTATGCCTTGCAGTAAACATGGACATTGCACACTGCCTACTAAATAAACAAGCAAATAAAGAAAGAAACCCCATACTTTGCAGAGACCATTGGTTTGCTCTGCTTTTCAGCATCTCTTGACTCTTGCCAAGGAATGGCATACAGTAAAAGCTTTGGGAGCTTATTTCCATTTCAATAGCGATTCATAAGTGATGCAATCATTTTCCAGGTTCAGAATTATGGGATTGGTGGAAGATATGAACCGCATGTTGATGCATTGGTAAGTTCACTGTACAGACATCACATCAATTTTGTAAACCAACACATAATTTGCCATTGGTTCCCTCAGGAATTTCTAATGGGCTTTGGCAGTTTTGGATTTATGAGTAATAAATTAATTAAATTAATTAAATGATTCACTTTGAAAATAAATTGAATTGCCATAATATGGAAGTACAATAATGCCAAATGTTTTTCAAACATAAAGCTTGTTGAATTGCACTACTTGAAAAAATATGCATTGCATTAACTGTGCTTGCATTTCAATGCATTGTATTTTTAGGGCTCGCATTTTTATTGGCTGAAATTCAACATGGTTGTATATTTAAACTGTGAATATTTCAATTAAAAACATTTCACATTTGCATAAAGATGGCTTGAAACTGGATGTTCGATATTTGCTAATTTAGGGACAGTCTCTAAAGTTACATACGACATGGGTATACACATTTCTAACTTCAATAGCATTTGAAGAGAATGACTAACAGTCATACAATCAACTATAAAAAATAGCAATATTTACACATA